TCGGAGGACTCATTTTCGTTTGGATCTTGTCCCTGCAGCATAATTTTCGAGGCCTCTTCCCATCGCAAGCCCTGTTCTTGGATCACGCGCTGGTTCGGATTGGGCCAAACCTTGCAGATGGCAATATACAATACGAAGGATGTGACAAATGACAGTATCCAGCCGAGGTAGTAGAGCTCGTTGCCGACTTCGTTTACACCTGTCGCACCGAGGGATGCGGCAAAGCCGGGGAATGGGAGCGCGACACCCACGATATACGCAATCAAAGCTTGAATGTTCCAGCCCTTGTGGTAGCGGTAGTATATGTTTGACTTCCTCGGGTTAAAGAGCCAATTTGTGAAGACGTTGCCCTTCGTGATGAAGTAATCTATGGCAGGGTTAGAAAAGTTACGAACTACTGTAAGCGACCGAACTCACAATCGGCAGTCATGATGGCAGCGACGCTAGCCATGAACAAACCGTATCCCGAGAGGAATGTCGTAAATATCTGTGCAGATGCCAGGATCTTCCAGGGCGCGATAGCAAACCCCAAAAATTCGACGATGAAGAATCCCCGTTTCATATCGATGTAGCGAGGGAACAGCATAGCAGCATCTGAGCCGAAAGCTATCAGATTAGCAGCGATGTTCGTACCCAGGATACCGACAGTCCAAGTAAAAGCGGCTAAGAATATTGCAAAGCGTGCCCCGGAGCCATTGTGATGATCTTGAATAGCATCAAGAAGATCCCATGGATTCCTTTCGGCAAGTCAGCTGCGTTTGTAGAAATAGGGGTAATTAGATGTATCGTGTAACGCACCATAACTCGAGGCCCCATTTCCCGTTGATTCCGGCCGTGGCTAGAATACCGAAAGTAGCAGATATGGTGACAGCAAACGGTTTAATCATCTAATGAAAATCAATATGCCGAAATTTCCTTATACTTGACTTGGGGGGGGCTACTTGCCTGAGCCCAGATTGCTGATCTATGTTTCTCACTCCAGCGAGCAATATCAGGCTGATTCGTGATCAACGTCGCGGTGTTACCTAAGCCGCTGTTTATAGCGTGCATTATAGCCCAGCCTGTGCTTGCAGCAATCGAGTTGTGCTGTAGTTGGTGATTCACGTCGCCTTTAGTTTCTATCATACAGTAGATGAATACGCCGATTACTGCTGGGATTATGATAAAGCCCTTAAACCAGAAGAACTTGGTCAACTGATAAGGCCGGAAGAAGCAGAAGACGAAATGAATAAGCCAGAATAGAACGAAGGAAAGCATCTTTTTCGTAGTGATGCCCGCGGACTCCGGTATGTGGTTTGGGATGTTGTTGTAACTATCACCGAAGATAGCCCTCAACATATTACTGACGTGACTAGCACCCGAGTAGACTTTAGGAGAAGGGCACACGTAATCAGCACCCGTTTAGAGACATTATTCGAGCAGGGTATGTCGACTTACGCTGGAGGCCATACCAGACAATGGCCAGAATAGCACGAGCACCCACGAAATAGTAGCTTCCGTACATCCCAAAAACTGCCCTGCTGACTGCCGGGTAGCCAATGTGGTAGACCGATGCGGCTCGTGTGTTGAATATCATAGCGACTGCAGAGATGAGTTGCGATATAAAGATGACGATGACAGCCTGCCACCAGTTCAGGCCAATGCCAATCATGGTCTACTGTGGAGGTTAGTCTTGATGCTACTCATTCATATCACAGGATCGGGATCAGATGAGACGTACGGATCCGAGACTCCAGTTACCAAAAGACAGGCCGAAATAGAAGAGAGCATAGGTCTTGGCGTTCCATGCTAAATGGATGTTGTCAGGAAACTGCCATCACAGACAAAACACAACGAATGAAACTAACTTTGCTTCTCCGGGGGCGTAGGCTCAAGATCTAGACATCACACTCATCAGCCGCGCTCTATTTTTTCTAACGTTAGAACCGGACAGAAGATTCACCTTCGTTCATCCATAGCGGATCCGCATCGACATAGCGAGTCTGTTCCCCGGTAAGGGTATCTTTGACTTGCAAGGACAGCTTGAAACTTTCCCAACTAGAGAATGCATGTGCCAAAGATACGCGTGTCTCGGTTGCTTTGGCCGAGTACGAGGACACGGAGGGTAAATGCATCTTGAACGGCCCTGAAGTTTCTCTACCAGGTAGGGATGAATGCAGCCCCGAGTCGAGAGCGGGAAAGAGATGACTATAGAATTACCCTTCTTTACACATCCCTTCTTCTGGGTCTTATGGAAATATCCGAGTCTGGCATATCTTGGAACTTATCAACAGGGGGGCAATCACAACCCCAGGCTAGGCTCTGGTTATCCAAGTAGGCTTGCCGGTATGGGTTAGAACTTTGATACGGGGTCTGAGGTAGGTGGTTGAAGTCAGGACGGCCAAACTGACTACTGCATCATGAGAAAGATGGTTGGTCAGAAGGCGGCGTCCACAAGCATTTTGTTCACACTTGGCGCCTGATAACGGCTTTATTAACAGGCGTAGTTTAAGAACTATCTGCACCTGTATAGAAAAGGTCGGCAACTTCCAGAGACATCTTATATAGAAACGGCCATGTCAGAAACGATAAGGCACGATAAGTTATCAGACATGGAAACATCCGTCTGTTACCCAATCGCTTATCAATCCCCGTATCATACAGCCAATCCCTTGACCCCTGAATGGCTAGGTGCAGGCAGGGTCCGAAATCACGGACGCTCTTGGGATCTCCAAAGATGTTGCATAAAAAGATAAGCAGCTGAGTATAACTACATAGAAAAAAAAAGGGAGGGCATCTCATCTTCAAGGCAGCCTATGTTCGTAGTTTAATCAAAATTCTATCGATCCGAAAATGGCCATAACTAGACCCAATCAAGTCCAGGGTTTCCAGCCTTCTGAGGCGGAGAAGAAAGCGGGCAAATACTCTCCCGAGACCCTCGGAAAGCTTCTGAGTGCCTTCAATCAGGATGGCCTTGTGCTTCTGAGCAGTGTCATTCCTAAGGACATAATCACCAGTCTAAATGAGAAGATGTGCGAGGATGCGGAGCAAAAGATCAAGGATCCGAGTCAGAGATACAACCACGGTGTCAAATGTAAGCTATCGCCGCTCTTATGTATATTAGCGAGAGAAGATGCTTAAGCAATGTTACCTACCTACATAGCGAACATCTTACAGCGGCCCCCAATTACCGATCCGAACTATCTACATGAAGACATCTACTTCAATCCGTTCCTTCTGCAGGTGGCAAATGCGTAAGCATCGTCAACGTTCGAGTATGTCTCGGCTCCTGACTTCTTCTCGCTCAGTTACCTAGGATCTACCCCGACCTGGAACTGGCTCACGGCGAACACGGCGCTCGCCAACACGGGCGGCATCCGGCAGCCCGCGCACAAGGACAGCGGCAGCTTCGCCCACCCCCAATACCCTTACTACTTCATCGCGAACATCCCGCTGTGCAACTTCACCGTCGAAAACGGGTCTACCGAGTTCTGGCTCGGATCGCACCTGGAGACGTGTGCGGACGACCAGCTCGTGGCGAAAACTGCCGAGGACATAGAACCCTACGGGATGGCCCGCATAGGCGACCCGATTCCGCCAATAGCAGACTGGGCCAAGGAGGAGCGCCTTAAAATCCGTCCTCCTATCCAGCCCCAGTGCGGCCCGGGAGACATCATGATCCGAGACCTGAGGACGTGGCACGCCGGCATGCCCAATTTCAGCGACGCCCATCGCGTCATGTTGGGTCTAGGTTATCAGGTCAGTGCCGAACCGCCACCCCCTTTTCTGATTTTTTATAAAATTAAACCGGTTGTTAATATCCAAGTATAGAGCCCGCACCACTCGAGCGAGTTCATGAAACTGCACCTCCCTCTTTCTCAGAAGGAGTTCTTCACAGAGAAGGCGGCAGGGAGGGTAGAAGTCCGTGCAAAGTGGTACGAAGAAGAGGAATTGGCCAAGACCAAGGCCGACACCGCCTTTCACGCTGGCCCAACACGTTAAAGGGGGTAAGAAAGGCGAGGTGTTTATGGTGAGTTTCGAAATAATTACGAAAGCGACCTATGAATGATTGTTTCTCTCTTCTTAGTGTTTTTGCCAGGGCTTTAGCCCTTTGCGTCTGGGTAGGAGAGGAGAGATGTGATAAGGGATGGGCCCCTTTATCCTCACCTCCTGTACACACCAGAAGCTTGGTAACCTAGCAGTTGCATTCATAGCTATTTACACAACAACGTTGTTATTTCTTTGCCACTTGGTTCGCTTCGTGACAGCTTTTTGCCTCATCAAGAGTCTGTAACGAGAGTTATAGGGACCAGTAGTACTACACTATGAAGCCCAAGCTTCAATCATCGACATATTAGAAATAACAGCATCATTAGGTATTGAGCTTATTGAATTGAAATTATCTTTATAGTCGTTAATACTGTAGCCAAGCAACATGAAAATGGCAATGCAGCACCTCCGTTCTTCCCAGACTCTATCATAGAAGCCATTAGACTACGATGATGATTTTAAAGTCAGATACACGAATACTATCAAGTAAGGTAAGCAATAGAGGGGATCTTGCCGTAAATATTAGCCATATTGAATATATAAACAAGGTCGAATCCATGACCCGAAACTCGACTATCCGACCTAATCGCCGAGCCTTGACGACTCCAAACCCATCAGGGACTATTACTCAGGGCTCATTGTCTCAGACTTGTTCTTTGATAACAACTTTTCGACGCCGGTTCGTTACTCACAATCAACGTTTCCTATACAGAATAGGAGAACACCATCATCGTTCTCGCTAGCACACTGCTCTAGTACAGCTCACCCATCTGGGCGTCCCGGCGTATCTGAGCTGCAAGAGACAACGAAATAACTTCAATATTGTATATGATCAATAAATTATCCCTCATTATCCCGGAACATTTACTTGAAAGTTGGTTTGCCCGCCATTCAAGTCGGGGCGTCGAACAGTTTTCTCAAGACTAGTATATCAGACAGTATTAGGAGATCCACATTCCATCCCAAATAGCGGCCGCGTAGTGTAGTGGTTAGCACGCAGGATTTTGAGAACAAAACTTCCTGAGACCTGAGTTCAATCCTCGGCGGGGCCTTTCTCAACATAGATTTTCTTTTTGGGGATGGTGGAAATTTGCCTTACATATATCGAAAACTTGTTTTGGTGTCGAGGAGATTATGCTTAAATTTTTTGGTTTTGGGCTTTATATTTTGCTTCAAGCTCTGTTAGGTAAGAAAAACGAGCGCTAGCATCCCATGTTCTAATTATAATTATCAATACATCCGTATAACCTTTCTGATAAGGCCGCCCAGGAAACAAGCAGTAACTCCTATGTCGGACGTAAGATTTCTCTATCTAGGGATCAGCTATTCTAGGCCGACCCTATTCCCCACGTGGGCGCGGACGCTAGTGGAATTTAGAGGTGCGGATACGTGGTAGCAGGCCACTAATTATACCGCGGAAGAAAGTGACCAGTTGAACTTCATTAATATGATGGATATACCGTTTTTCTGAAATTCTTGCAACATCTAGCAAGTAATCTGTATTCGGTTCGTTTTCTTCCGCGGCATAAATTCAAACACAGGATGTAAGCGTGCTCTCAGCTCAGGAGAGATGCGTTCTCGTCAGAAGTGGTCACATTGCTATAATGTTAGGAATATGATCTATCTAGTGGACGCGGTTGAATCATTATACCATATGTCTGGTATTTTGTTGCTGCTAGTAGTTGAACTTCAGTTGGTTGATAAGCGTAGAATCCTGCTTCGCTGTATCAAGTAGTTTTGATCCAACATCGGTTCAAACCTCTCTATGTAGATCACTCTCAACCCCAATAACGAGCTAGGCTACTAGTTTACAACTTGGCAGTGCCTTCTTTAACGAACTCGACCTTGTTAGTGACGATTCCGACGCCCTCCATCTCGACCTCGACGATGTCGCCATCCTTCATCCACAGCTGGGGCTTGCGGCCCATTCCGACACCCGACGGTGTTCCCGTCCAGATGAGGTCTCCCGGCAGCAGCGTGTGGCCTTTGCTTAAGAAAGAAATAGTGTGCTTGACGTTGAAGATCTGGTCGGCCGTGTTGCTGTCCTGCACGACTTGTCCGTTTAACCTGGTGGTGATCTGCAGCGTCTGGGGGTCCTTTATGATGCTGCTAGACACGATACCCGGTCCGTACGGCGCCCAGCCGTCGAAGCCCTTTCCGAGAGACCACTGGCCACCACCCCGCGCAACTTGCCAGTCACGGTGGGATACATCGTTGCCGACGGAGTAGCCGAACACGTAATCGAGAGCCTCGGACTCGGAAACGTCGCGGCACTCCTTACCGATCACGATGATAAGCTCGACTTCGTAATCCAGGCCTAACTCCTCCTGTGCTATAGGGTGCACGGGGATAGGATCCGTGGGCCCGGATAGAGAAGTCACCGGCTTGTACTACACGGCTTAGTTAGCGTGACATCGTCACACGGGGTTGGGAAATATGCCACTTACAAACAGAATTGGGTATTTGGGCAATGGTAGACCGGCCTAGATGGACCGTCAGTATATCAAGGCGGCTGAAGCGGGGTAAAAATAAAGGCCGACCTCTTTCGCGTGTAGAGCGTAGTTGAGACCCAAGCATCGGACGGTCTTGACGTCCTCCAACGCAAGTGGCGCTAGCAGTAACCGGACGTCCGCAACTTGGTCGGTGACTTCATACTTGCCAAAGATATCGCCCTTGATGACACGGGCTTTCTTTGTCTTGGCGATGTCTGTCACGCCCTCAGGTAGGATGGCATCTCCATAGTATGTCTTGCCATTCTTGGCGAGAAAACGAACAAGTCGCTACGATGGTAATGTTAGATGTTAGGGTGACGAATAAGGGGCTAGGGGCTAGGGCTAGGGGCTAGATAGAGGGGTTATGACTTACAGAGAAGGAAGACATGATTTATATTAAACTTGAAAGATAATCAAAAAAACAGTGTGATATTCTAGATTCAAAAGGCACTCAAAACGAGTTACGTCCAGGCTGTTATCTGTTTCTTTTATACAACATGGGTGGAGACAGTAGGGCTAGTGATAGTTACAAAGGTCGGGGTTTCGGATAACCTCGGGCGGTACTGGGATTCACTGGGCTTTAGCCTATCGCGATCGCTGCAGCACCACCCCGAGGCCGGAGATTCGGACTCCCCACCCACCGGCAGTTCGTCCCCCTTTTCTTCCCCCCCTTTTTATTGCTGCATAATCCCCGCCACATCTCCGTGAGATTCGTAATTAATAATAAATCGCCAACCCCCCAAACTAACCCGTCTGCCCTCATCCGTCCCGTGTATGACGTGCAAGGGTTTGAGCAGCATTGTCTTGCCTCTTCATTGGTGCATTTTCTAAACTCACGATTGCGATTGTGGAGCACTACATCGATCGACTCAAAGATGAAGAACATAAATCCGTGACAAAGAATTCTATACCTACATGTAGGTAACCGCTGCTGACTCAAACGGGAATAAGCTATGTCAACCCATGTTGTCGACCTACCCAGATCATTTCCTTAGAAATCTGAAACGGCCTGCATCGTCAGCCTCGAGCTTAGCTAACATCTTTTCTGCTAAATCATCCAACTTTTCTTGGGTTTGAGGCTCAGGTACGTGTAGCTCGTCGTCTGACCAACCCTCGAGCCTGTTTGTCAGCATGGCGATAGCTGACTGTCTGAGGAGAGGTTGTCCGCGTGTGATTATGATTGATACCACGAGCAATAGAGCAGTCAGCAGCACCTCGGCCAAGGGCAATGCCATCCAACCCCATCGTACGTGTATGTAGGTCTCGTTAAAGAAAGCCACGCCCTTCATGATGGACGTGTCGTCATTATCGCCATGGTCCTTCGTCCGTATTTGGTTTGTCAACGTGTCTGCAATGGCCGTAATGATATTCTTCAAGTCGGAATTTTGAAGAGCGAAGCCGATCTCTAGTAACCGATCATTCGGTCCGTTATCAGGACGATGTATATTGTGCTGAACTGTGGCACTCAAGAATGTATGTAGGTAGTTTGGTAGAGATAGGACAGCCATCTTCGAAATATTGAAAGCATGGCCCGTGGAATTCGCCACGTAGGAGTAATAGTCCACTCCCATTTGATTATCCGGCTCTCCGAATCTCGAGGCGGCAATGAATGTCAAGTCTTCCGAAGACATCGAGCCGGCCTTGACATCAGTCTGCGACCCGGTGATGTTATGGAACGTTTGCGTGCACCAGCTGAAAGTATTGAAGTAGACTTCGGCAGGTGGAGGTTCTAATCCGTTAGGATAGCCATGCTGCGTGGCCTTCACGGCCATAAAAGTGCCCAGAGTGTTATTCAAGCCATGGCCTGCCTGGAATTGAGATTGAAAGAGCGTAGTTGCAGGCCCTGCACCACCAGTGCTCTCTGTAGTCCATGCGAGGGTCATATCACCAGGGTCAAAATCAACTATCCCTGGGAAGCTGTAGGTGCAGTTGGTACCCCAGGATGCAAGAGTACAATTCGGTATCACGACATCTGTGATGTTCATGAAATTTGCACAAACCCCTAAAGTTGTAAACGTATCCCACTGGCATCGAGTAGCCGGTTCAGGGCATTCGAAGTACGGTCTGAAGACGGATCCGGTCGCACCGTTGATAATTGAGGCCTGGAGAGCAAGTAGATCTGAGTTCGGAACCCAGATAGGACCTAGATCAGTAATTAGTGTTGTATATACTATGGAGAGCAATGTAGAGGTGATGTCGGGTTAGTCATACCCCCGTAGTCTGTATCGTCGAGGAAGCCCTTGGAGTTATACGTATCAGCCGTGCCTAACTCTACGGACACATTGTTCAACTGAGTCTCTCGCAAGGGGAATGTAAGAACTTGCTGGGCACTTGTGTCGATACCAAGTGCGATAATGGTGATCAACGCAAATCCGAACGTGACCAAGACTCGTGTCCGAAAACACAAACTCCATAACAAAACAGCGGATCCCCAAGGGCCTCGACTAGCATCATCGAAAAGCTGAAGGTCAATGAGCCTTCGTGGTTGAGTCATGAAGTGGCGCCACTTGAGCTGTCCGATACATGATGCGGCGGGGACCAGCATCGACGCCTTTGCTATCGTAGTCAAGGCCGCAACAAGCGAGTTGGGCTCTATAGGCAGCCACCAGCTCTGCAAAGGTAGGCCATCCATCTTGGTGAGAAGCGTTACCAAAGTGCACATGCAAGCGATGCTAAGGATGATAGCCAGTATTTCCCACCACCACCACCATTTTGATAGGGGTCCGTCCACCAGAGGCTTTTGATCGTTTCCTCGGAATCTGGCTCTAAAAGTTTTGAACTTGTTATCCTTAGCGGTAGGATTTCTGATAGTCTCCGCCGAGTTAGTCCATGAAGATGAAAATGATCCGTAAGGTATGTTTCCTAAAGGTATGTTGGCTGCGATTGTCGATGTGGCGTTTGGATATGGACCGTAAGAGGCCGCATGGCTGGAAATGACGCTATAAGAAAGAGAGGTCACCGGAGATACAGACGGGTTTCGAGTCGGATACCCATCATCTTCAGAGGTAAACTGAGATGGTATTCTAGACATTGCTAAGCCAAACGTAAATCTGATTTAGTGAGAAGAAGGTTCGTATTCAGAACAGCAAGATCACGGCATATATTACGTGTACGGTTAGGTTAGCGGTCTACACACACTTATATCAAGTTGGACGTCTAGGCCAAGTGTTCGACCACGGCGTGAGCTGAGGCCCGACACAAAGACCTAGCTACCTACCTAGGTAGATAGCTACCTCCTGTCTTTCCTCGCACGACCCTCTGATCGAGGCCGCGAATATAATTGAGACATTGCGAAAGGGGCTATCATAGTAGCTGTAGCCAATGCCCTCAAATAATCATAGTTACCTACCTAAGGTACTGATATAATTAGATTAAAGAATGAAGAGGCCAGTTTTATGATTGAGGTTGTTTGAAAAGAATGGCATTTTTTGGGCGCAGCCTCGTAGTGCATCATGACTGGACTCAGGCACCAGTAATATAGCATCGAAGGCACAACTGAAAGGCCCCCAAGGCAGAGTTTTTATAATTAGCACCAAAGGAAAAGAAAGTTGCTGCAGATG